CCGGGGCTGACCAAACTTGGTCAGCTCCGGACCAACATGCTGAAAACTCTTTTACATGCTCGTTTCGGTCAAATCTCGTTTCCATCCTTCGGATTCTTCACATATAAGTCTATCCCTAGTGGTATGTGACTCTGTAGGCCCATTCTAAGCAGTAGTGACTTCGGAACCTTTCCCGAACCACAAGTCATAGTTAGCCTCTAGCAAGATGCCATGACCACCCACTTAGAATTGAGTTAGAGGTGATCTAACCAAGGCATTAACGGCTCGAATTCTGACTTTCCACGAGAGGGCCCAGCGATATCTCTCCTATTAAGGAGGTGACAAGTCTCATATTTCATGTCTATTATCTCCATATGATTCGTGAACATATCGGATCAACGTCGTTATAATCATCTAGTTAAAGACGACGTTTGACGCAGTCAAGACACGCCACTCCTCATATCAGATACTCTAGACATCTCTGGTATGAGGATCCAAGAACGAACCGCTGTATGAGATTCAAGTCATGACTCTGTCCATGTGACAATCTCATGCGGGTCATCCAGTCACTCGTTCACAACGAGTACCCATGATTGTGATCTGCATCCAATGCGTGGATCACACCTCATGCTAGTCTTAATTCATCATTGTTCCCACAACGATAACTGACCAGGGAGTTTAGAATCATTCTCTAATGATTCAAGGATACCGAAATATAACAAACATGCCAATCATATAACGGGAAGAGTAATGCATTCATAAACCAATGAATCAATACAAAGTCAAAATGTCATATCACGGATCATCCTAGAGCATTACAACCATCAGATCATGATACGAGTTCCAGGAGACGAGTGATACCGAGACAGTGTCATGATCCTGATTTACAGAAGGTTATCGATGAGATCAGCAAAGACGGTGAGAAAGGGTATAAGATGGATGAAGAGCATAACTTGAGACTTCATAACCGTCTCTGTGTACCAGCAGAACATGAGTTGAGGCAGGATATCTTGCGAGAGGCTCATCAGTCTCGATTGGCTATACATCCAGGAGCCAGCAAGATGTATCAGGGTTTGAGATAGTGGTACACATGATCGGGCATCAAGAGAGATGTCGCAGAATTCGTAGCACACTGCCTGATCTGTCAGTAGGTAAAGGCAGAGCGACAGATGACCAGTGGGAAGTTACAACCATTAGAGATTCCGGAGTGGAAGTGGGACTCGATTGTGATGGATTTTGTGGTTAGTTTACCGACGACCCCGGCAAAGAAGAATGCTATTTGAATAGTCATCGACCGATTGACGAAGTCCGCACACTTCATTCCGATTCGACAAGAGTATACAGTGGATAAGTTGGCACAGATTTACATAGACGAGATTGTTCAATTGCATGGAGTCCCTAGTGAGATCATTTCAGATCGAGATCCTCGGTTTACAGCGAGGTAGTGGGGCGCTATTCAGAGCGCGATGGGTACTCAGCTGAGGATGAGCACTGCTTATCATCCTCAAACAGATGGATAGTCAGAACGAACCATCCAGACCTCGAGGATATGTTGAGAGCGTGTATTCTGGAGTGGGGTGTTCCTTGGGATAGGTATCTGACGTTGTGCGAGTTTGCGTACAACAACAGCTACCACGCCAGCATCGACATGCCACCTTATGAGGCCTTATATGGGCGGCCTTGTAAGACGCCTTTGTGTTGGACGGAGATCAGAAAATGACGTGTATTTGGGCTTGAGATTGTGGAGGAGATGACAGAGGTTATCTGCAAGATCAAGACCAACTTGAAGGTCGCGTAGGATCGCCAAAAGTCTTACGCTGATCAGAGGAGGAGAGACTTCACAATAGCAGTGGGTGATCTAGTATTTCTCCGAGTTCAGGCGATTAGAGGGCACACACGGTTTGGAAAGACGGGGAAGCTCAAGTCGCGTTACATTGGACCTTATCCTGTGATTGGGGAGGTCGGAGCTATAGCATATCGATTGGAGTTACCCCCAGAGCTCGGCCACATTCACGATGTATTTCGTGTATCCATGTTACGGAAGTACATCACGGATCCTTCGCATGTGTTGCGACCGTAGGAGATTGAACTTATCAGTGATGCCAGAATCCGCGATCAACCACTTCAGATCGTCGACTACCTTGGTTAAAGTTGTTTGAGAAGTCAAGGGATCTCGGACATGACATGCGAGCCAGAGCAGGAGATACACGACCATTACCCACATCTTTTCGGTACGTATCTTCTCTTATCTTCTCTTAGCAGGAGATACACGACCATTACCTACACCGAGCCATAGGAAGCCCTTAGGGTGCCGGAAAATGACTCTATAACTCAACATCGAACCTAGACCGAGTTAATCCGAAGGTTTGGACCAAAACGAGCGAAAAAAGTGACGAAAAAAGGTCAGACCGTCTGGTCCGGGAGGCAGACCGATCGGTCTAGAGTTGCAACACCGTTCGGTCTGCACAGCCAGTCCGTCCGGTCTGACGAGGTTAGCCCAGATTTCACACGCTACCTCTTTTCTGTTGAGTCACCGCCGTAATTCCTTCGATTCACCTATGTTTGACACCTCCTGCTTGGCCAGACGCAGCTCACACTTACTTGCTCGGACACTTCCCTTCACTCTTGCCTTCCACACACTCTCACAATCTCAAAAACTAGGGTTGGGCATGGGCGGGGGTACCCGGATGTTTTAAGATATCTTTATCTCGATCTCAGTCTCGTCGGGTTTTTTGTCATCATATCTCGGTCCCTATCTCATAAGGTCCGGGTACCCGAGATTCAGATACCCGAAACACGAGATCGGGTATCCGTGACACCCGAACCCGTCACCATTAAAAAAAACTGTACGATGGCGGAGGTTCGGTCGAATAGAGGGAGAGATCCGGTCGAATAAGGCAACAATGTGGTCTCACTAGAACCTGTGCGAAGACGGAGGCAGAAGGCGAAGACGGAGGCGACGGGTCTAGATGCAGAAATCTTACCGCGAATATAAGGAGACCAAGACATAGAAGGCGTCGAACAGAGGGAGAGCAAGGTAGAGACGATGAAGATAGAGGTAGTTGAACAGAGGGAGAGAAAGAGAACGACGACGACGGATAAACAGAGGTTGAACAGAGAGCACGGCGACGATGAAGTGAAAGAGAACGATGGAGGCTGAAGCTCAGGTGACGAGGGACAAAGAAAGGACATGGAAGGCTGGAGCTCACTCTCACGTCTCAACAATGAGATATCTCTCCGAGGAAAGTAAAAAGGAGGCGCACAAAAGAGTGAAAAGGAGGCGCATAAAAGAGAGGGGAATTGCAAAGGAAATATAGGCACATAACGCAAGGAACTAGGTCGGTAGAGGAGTACTATGCTGAGTTTATGAGACTTAGGATCCAGCTAGAGCTAGAATATGATGAGGAACTCGCAATGAGTCATTTCGTAGGTGGACCCTGTAATACCCCGAATCCGGATTCAAATATTTAATTAATTCCGAAAAAAAGAATTAGATCGATGGGCCTTAAAAAAACCTTAAAAATAGACATAAGGTACCGGGAAAAGGTCTGAGCATCACCACGTGCGAAAGAGACGAGAAAACGGTGAAAAAGGGAAACAAGACGTCTGGACCGACTTGATGAGGACATCGGATCTAACAACATCTCGTAAAGAAGATCTTGGCGGAAGCAAACACAGAGCAAAGGTAACGGCAAACCGAGTTCCACAACCGAGTTCCACCTCGGATCGAAGCCACCAAGTAAAAGGAAGTTGCTTGGAGTGCAAGACAATTATCCAAAGGAAGCTTCTTCATCATCAAGGCAACTCCAACAACTATCTTCCCAACCACCTCATTTAATGCAACATTAAGGAATTTCAACAACTAGCTTCCCAGCCACCTCATTTAATGCATTGGACTCCTACCCCTCTTGCATGTTCTTATCATTTAATGTTGTAGTTGAGAATTGTAGCCTATATAAAGGCCTTGTAATGCATCATTTGTAATCAGACTTGTAGAATGTCTCAAATATTTCGAGTTTTATAAACTCTTCTTCGGTTTGTCAGAAATTTATCCCGATCTTCGGTGTGTCCGAGATCACGAGTTTGGTGTGTCCGAACTCAAGCCTTGGTGTGTCCGAGGTCCACTATCTATTCTTCCACTACGTTCCATCCATCTTCCTTTTCGGAATTACGTCGAGCATCGTTTGATCCGTGACTGATTCCAAGGACCACCCTTCCCCTTCGAACACCATACCCAGTCGAAAGTCGAGAGCCTTCTCCGTGAAGTGCGTGAGACCGCGATTCGGCCTTGTTCCATCCTCTCCGAGTCAAGGCGTGTATCACGACCGGTCCAAGAGGCATGGACCACCCTTCCCCTTCGAACACCATACCCAGTCGAAAGTCGAGAGCCTTCTCCGTGAAGTGCGTGAGACCGCGATTCGGCCTTGTTCCATCCTCTCCGAGTCAAGGCGTGTATCACGACCGGTCCAAGAGGCATACCGACCGGTCCAGCCCGACAGGCACATGTGCTGTAATAACCCATGTCCGAAAATCTAGAAATATGATAAACGATGATAATTTCATATTGAAAGATATATGGAATAAAAATCGAACTATATCAAGTTGAACCGAAAAAGTTCCACAAAATTCGTAATTGATACGATTCAAGTCTCATGAGCCTAAAATCCGTATTCTAAAATACGAGTATATCTTTGGGTTGTATAATCAATATGTGGCCATAGTAATTAAGAAATATACAAATAGATAAATAATTATATTTATAATTATAATTATAACAAATAAAATAATAATGATGGAAACAAGAACAACTCAACATGAGTTGATTTTTGTACTTAATCATTGTTCTTCTTTGATGACCCACCCACATGATCACCGACATAAAGAGTCTTGCGCGCATTATAAAATAAGAAGAAAAGGAAAACCCACACAATCATATGTCGGGAATGGCCAACTAAAGGTACGTAGGCCAAAGGAGCCACTTTGATTCAAACTAGAAGGCAATAATAACACCACTCCTAAACATTATTGGAGAGACACATAAGGCTTCGACAATGAAGAAGAAAGAGAGAGAGATGTACCACCGGTGGAGGCGGAGAAAATGGGAAAGAAGAAAATGGAGTCGCATATATGGTTTAATGCAGTTTTGTCACCTTCAAATGGCACCATCAGATCCCTCTCTCATCTTCATTTTCTCCTTATCACTCCACCATTTTCGTCACAATAATGCTCAAAAAGTTCAAAGATCATTCTCTCGCCATAACATGCTTATCGGTGGTGCAAAAACTCGGGTTTTCACTCTATTTTCGATTCCCTTTCATTTGATGGTAAGATCACTATATTTCCAGCTTAATTTACCTTCTTCAAGTCTCATACCTAACATTTTGTTCCCTGCATATCATTATCTCTTCAAAATTTAGGCTCCTAAGACTCCATTTTAGTTATATTCGGAAGAAACAAACCTGAAACCACCATTTCAATAGAGGAAAGGGTAAATCCACTCTTCAATATTTTTATTTGTGAGGAATCAATGTTAAGCATTCATTCTAGATCAGTAAACCTTCATTTTTAATTTCATAGTCATTCCCAACTCAAACTATAAAAGAGAAATATGTGTGCAAGGGATTAAACATCGTTGTGTTAGCACCGAGAGATTGAACCCTTATAATGTCTTTGGCCTCTTCAAATCTTGTTATAAGGCTCATTCTAATCCTTATTAATACATGTTAGGTGATAAACAAACCCTCTTGGAACAAAGAAACTCATCACCGAGACTTAAAAGCGATTTTAAGGTGAGTGGCTTGAGTTGCGTCTGTGTAAACTCGTTTTCATCGATGTGAATGTGTTATCTCGATGATTCGTTTATTGCATCAAAGAGGACATTTCAATGAGAATTTAGAAATAAACGGTGCTCAATTTGGCTGAGAAACGAAGGAGATATAAACAAATGAATACTGTGGAAAATCTGAAAATTTACAGAATCGCGATTTTTAGAGGTATAGGCATTACGAATCGTTTTTCGTCATGTATATATGATATTTAAATAATCTACTGCTTGGATATGAAAACGGACATCCCAATGAACATTTAGGAATAAACGGTGCGCGATTTGGTTAAGAAACGAGTGAGTTATGAGCAATCGGAGTCGGACCAAAAACCTGAAAACGTGAATGGACGAACTGCCCAATTCCGGTCCGCCGGACCAGGAACTGGTCAGCTCCGGACCAAGTCCGGAAAATATTTTTAGTCCGCCGGACCAAGGAGAAGAGGCTGAGAAATCATGTTCTGACCTGGACCAGAAACTGGTCCGGCGGACCAGGCCTGTTTTGGACCAAACATTGGTCCGATCAACCGATTTCGCGGGGACGGACCGAATTTCGGTCCGAATCGGACCAAATCTAAGAGGAAAGAGAAGACAAAAATGAACAAATTGAATGAATACGCGTGGTGAGACGTGTGAAATAAACACTGCGAGTGAATCGTTGTGTGCTTATTTTTGGGTAGCATTGCATGGCGTGAAATGGTAAGATGGTGTGAGGCCGAATACCGTGATACACGTGACTATAGTCGGGGGATGATGATGCATGTTATATGCTATGGTTGAAGCTCACTCGTACATTACGAGAGGAGCGTGATTGTGATTGTAATATAGTCGCATGCGATGCGAGGCCAATGTCATGCGATGTGACAGGCGTCAGAGGCGCTCCTAGTCATGCGATATGACTAGGGTTTATGGCTAACCCTATGGTGCGAAGCCATACGGGATTTGATTGTCGCGCGAAGTGATGGCCAACGTCATGAGATATGACGGGCGTGAGAGGCGCTCCTAGTCATGAGATGTGACTAGGGTTTATGGCTGACTCTATGGTGCAAAGCCATACCTACTTGATGGTCGTGCAATACGACGGCCAACGTCATGAGATGTGACGGGCGTGTGAGGCGCTCCTGGTCATGAGATGTGACCAGGGTTCACGGCTAACCTTATGGCGTGAAGCCATACAGGAATGAATTTGATGATATTCTGATGTGATATGAGTATATATTTAATGTTAACTATTATATTTTATGTTTTATCGTTTTAACACCGTTCTCGTTGAGAACGGTTTACCGGGTTCAACCCGGGCTACACACTAATCGGTTGTGTTTAGCCCTCGTGGTTTCATCTTTTTCAGATCACGAGGAGTACGTGTAGCATATCTAGACGACGACGAACACTTGAGAGAGGCAGCATCATGTACGGATTTGATTTGTGCTAATTTTTGAAAACGATGTTTTCCTTTGCGTTATATTTTAAGATTGGACGTGTGGTAATTAAAGGTTGTATTAAACTATTCCGATGCATGTTCATAAAATAAAAGTTTTAAAATTTCTGTATTTTTGTTTGGTATTATTTTGATGGTTTTAGTCCATGTATCAGAGCAACGTTCCTTCCACGGGAAAGAACGACTCATTATCTTAAGGTTTTACAATGAAAAAAATATCTTTCAAAACCACGTCCAAGAATTTTTTTTTTTTTTAAGAAAACCGTACGTAAGTGATGCAAGCTGATGTCGCAAGATGCCTAGTGGAGTGGACATGGCGCATTGGGAATGATGCCGTTATATACCAAAAATGGGAGGTAACCGTGGGACATTGCCAACAGAAGGCATGCACTAACTCGCCTCAAAGGAGAGGTCGAGAGCAAAGGGGGGAGGACCTAAAATGTTTGCAGACTTATCGACGTTAGTAGATGACCCCTCTATACAAGTGTTAATAGTTGCAAAGTTGGCTAGGAAGGTATTGAGTTGTTTCTTATCAAACCACTACCCTTAACAAAATGAAGTGATTTCTTATAAACCTCAAATTGCCAACAAGAGAAAGTTAACGCTATCCTCAAAAGCTGTAGTCAAATACACTACTTAGGAGAACAACCGAACAGAACGATGGGTAGGGACCCATATGCTCTGGGTTTTTCCCTAAAAAGCGATAATGTAGTATGCAAGGAATAAATTAGAAGGAAAGGATTAGGCAAAGACAACCGGAGATCGATGCGTGAATGGATCAAATCATGAGTAATGAAAGGAAATGATACATCAATGAATAAAAACATGTTTAGACTAGAGTAAATATTGTGATGGTAAATACACCATACGGACTCACAATTGTACTTGTGGTCCTCACGTAAATAGGGAAACCTGTATCTATACATTTTAAAATATTGAGTTCATCATTATGGATCACGTTCTCATGTACTCATTGTAATACCCCAAAACCCGATTGGGATATTTAATTATTTTTTGAAAATAAATAATTAAATGGAGGTGTCACGAAATCACCAAAAATGAGTAGTACAGTGCCTGGAGCAGATACGAGGATCGCCACGTGCGGAAAGATCGAGAAAATGAACAAAATTGGAGAAAACTGAGTTGGTCCGCTGGACCAAGTTTGGTCAGCTCTGGACCAACTCAGTCAGTTCGGACTCGGAGGCGACAGGCGAACCGAGGAAGGAAGAAAGAAAAAAAATATATAAGGGTTGGTCCGCCGGATCAGAACTTGGTGTTGGTTTAGTGCTCTATGATGTACTGTTTATGAGCTTTGTTCAGATACATTTGATGTATTGATATTTTCTATGGTTTTTATGAGAGTATTTGATTCATTACATGTTCTTGCATACTAGATCTGTTATGAAATCCATGTATCATTATGAATGATGATGCTAAACTCCCTAGTCTTGTGTCATTATGGGAATGATGACATAATAAGACTAGTATCATGTGTGATTGATGATTATAGAGATGATCATAGGTATTGGATACGATCACAGTCATAGGTATTCGTTGGAGAACGGAATACTGGATTGACCCGCATGAGATTGTCACATGGACTAGCGTCATGACTTGAATCTCATATGGCGGTTCCATGATTGGATCCTTAGACCTGAGATATCTACGGAATCCAACATGAGGAGTTTTGTGCTTTGAATGCGTCAAACGTCCTGCGTAACAGGAGGACTATAAAGGCCTATATCAGGTACGAAACGAATCATGTGCCGGATTGTAGATAGTCAAGACGGGATTTGTACCTCTCGTAAAAGAGAGAGATATCGCTGGGCCCCTC